CCTCGGTTCTCTCCGCAGCCTCGGTTCTCTCCGCAGCCTCGGTTCTCGAAATGTGATCTTGGCTGTGATAGCAAGGGGATTATTTCTTTGCAGAGTGATAAAAAGAGGGAGAAGATTTTTAAGACATCTTTATATTGCTATTTAAAAAAAAAACATGTTGCCACAGTCGTTCATCTTGCACTCATCAGGTCAAATGCATGAAGACAAATGTCAAACAATTGCACTACTTTGTACCACAGGAGAAAAGAGCACTTGTTTCCCTGTTGCTAATGCGTCGACCAATCAGTTGACTTGCCAGTCAGTCTGTGCTATTTTTTTCCTGTGGTGTAGCTTATTGAGCCTGCTTGAAATTTGCCATTCTTGCACTTGTCCTGATGAGTGTAAGATGGAAAGCTTCACTGGCTTTCTTCCTCTCTCTTTACAGCAGTTTTCATGTTCTACAATGCCGTGTTAATTTCATTCTATGTTGACTATTGTCTAAGACAATGCAGTTGTTATTTTGCATTCAGGGATATCCCAACTCTGGTTCCTCACTTGCTGTTTGTACAGATGTATCTAACAGGACAGCTGCTTTGACATAATTACGTGGAAATCCCATACCCACACCGCCTCTTGGTCCCATTATGTGACAGTGTAGAGCCTCAGATGGATTACTAAAGTATATAGCGAGCCTATAAGTTATTTACATGCAGTTATTCATTTGATTTTTTTTCTCGTAGGGAAGCTGAATGTGAGCACTGAAACTGTACAACATGGAGTAGAGGGTTTGATGTACTTGCTAACTGAGAGCTCCAAAATGATGGTAAAATAACTTATTTATCGATGTGTTCTTTTGGGATTAGCTTTGATTCAGTGTTCTGGACTATTATTTTGCTTAATGAAGTAATTGGAGAGAATTTTTTGGTCTTGAGTTGTTTTTTCCCACCCCCTCTAGTTGATGTTTCCTTCACCTCTTCCAGGTGATCACATAACTGCGAAGGGGTGGCTGGTGGAGAGCAGGAATGGCAAGAAAAAGGGCATGTTGAGTTGTGATACTCTGGCCATCATGAAAGCAGGGCTTGTTTGATGGACCAACTGGGTAATTTCCTGTTGTCAATGGAAAGCAATAGCTGTTTTTAACCTTTTTATATCTAAAGGACAAGGTTGATCCAGCAACAGTATTTGCTTGAGATTGGGGTCAACACCAAAAGTTGTTAATCCACAAATTAGGAATCAAATAGGAAAGTCAGGCACAACAGTTCTACAATAAAGGATTACGGACTTAGAGATTCATTCATCCGCAAAGGGTAAAAGTTGTTGTGTGGTGGAATGGCAAACTTTAATTTAAAGGTCAAGTCACCTCAGTCCTACCGGCTTCTCCCTCATTCAAGAGAGACAACTGGTGATGGTTTAACGTGAGGGTCATCACACCCTCAGTCAAAGGGAAAGGTTGAGAAAGAGAGTCCTTTGTGGTAACCTCAGCCAGTGCGGGAATTGAATCCACACTGTTGGCATCACCCTGTATTGCATAACCAGCTAACTGAGCTAATCAACTCCTAAACTTGAATTTATGCAGTGCCACTAAAAGTATCTTGAGACATTATGCAGAGGTATAACCAAGCAAGTGGATGTTGAAGCAAAGGAGGTGTCAGGAACAGGAGACTGAAAACTCTATCTGAAATGGTCTTTACTGGAGGGCAGTAAAGTTCGCAGGGTGGATTTCAGCTGCACGTTTTCAAGTGTTGTCCTTAGGAGGCAGAGGGTTTAGCCTCCACTGTTGGGGTGGAGGGCGGGGATGATGAACAGGAGTCCTAGGGTTATTAAGTCTGATGTCTCTTCATATCCAGAAGGGATTACTTGATAGCAGCAGAGTGTCTAGCTTGACCTTCCCACCTTTCCCAGACCAGCATTCCCTGTGAGGTACATGGATGTGCGGTTGCACAACAACCAAGAACGTCCATTGTCAGCAGTTTGCCAGTTGTTTCCTATGAGAAATCGCATGTGGGAAAATGTGTAAAATAATTTGAACCTTGCCCTGAATAGGAATTAAACCCCCACTGTTTATGTGATTGCTAACCACATGGTTCCACATCTGAGCTGTCTCACACTTCTATACGAATGCAGACCAAGAATTAAGCCAGGAACCTTTTAAGTTTGCATTATGTGGTTGATCACATCTAGGTCAGAGAAGGCAATTACAGGCAGTCCCTGGGTTGTGAATGGTTTCTGTTCTGGAGTCTGTTTGCAAGTCAGAGCACAATGCAGGACAATGTAAAATAGCTGTTCGCATGTCGTATCTTTAAAATTATACTCCTACGTCAGAGTCATGCAGCATGGAAACAGACCCTTCAGTCCAATCAGTCCATGCCAAATGTAATCCCAAACGAAACGAACCCCACCTGCCTGCTTCTGGCCCATGCCCTCCAGACTTTTCCTATTCGTGTGCTTATCCAAATCTCTTTTAGACATTGCAATTGTACCCACATCCACCACTTCTTCAGGAAGTTCATTCCACACGTGAACCACCCTCTGTGTAAAGAAAAAAATTGCCCCCATGTCTTTGTTTAAAGCTTTCTCCTCCCACCTTAAAAATATGTCCCCTAGTCATGAAATCCGCCATCCTAGGGAAAAGACAACTACCATTAACTCTATTATATGCTTCATTATTTTATCAACTTCTAATATGGTCTCCTCTCAACTTCCTACGCTCCAGTGAAAAAAAGGGTCTCGGCCTATCCACCCTTTCTTTATAACTCAAACCTTCCATACATGGCAACATCCTGGTAAATCTCTATTGAACCCTCTCCAGCTTAACAATATTCCTCCTACTCGTGTTAGTAAATCAGGGACTTCTTGTGTTGTTTTTTGTGAATTTAAATACAATGTGTAATAACAAATCTAACTGTTGATTAGATTTCCGAGGTGGATTTCCAGGACTCTGTGCTTGTTTTGGGCTTTCCTGAAGATCTAAATAAATTACTACTTCAGCTTTATCTGGATAATAGGAAAGAGATTCGGAGTATCTTGAATGAGCTGGCCCCAGATCTCCCACATTACCACAACTTAGAATGGAGACTCGATGTACAGGTAAAGAATTTACAATGCTCTCAACCCAGCAGTTTTACACAATATTGTATGTATATCTTGTGTGCATTGAAATTTAATTGTAAACCAAAAATGCAATAAGGTTTGTGTCAAATGTTTTCTTTGATTTGGCAAAGCCTCTGTTCATACTGTCAACAGAAAAGTTTAAACCTATGAAAAGGTGACCACTTGGGCAATAAAAGACACTGCAGGAAACCTGCATTAAGTTATAACAGTATTACATAAAAAAGATAGGCGGCAACTGAGTGGGCCAAACACAGATCTTGCTTCACCATTTGGCTTGGAGCAGAGACGGTGCTCGTTCTGTCTCTGTAACATCAACTTCCGTGGTCTTCTGCTTACAGTCAGACAGCAGACTCTGATCTTGACGTGTTTTGTTCACTGAAAGCAAGTACTTATTTATCCCTTCCAAGCCACAGTATGATTGATGATGTTATTACACTATAACTGGTCTGATTTCCACTTGGTTTAAGGAGTGTGTAACCAATCTCTAATTGGCTCTAAAAGGTTATAATAATTGACTGATCTTACCAAACTATCACCTGATAGGTTCCATTTGGTGCCTGTTACTTCTGAGAGTGTCCTCTTCAATATAGTTTGTGTATGTCAAGCACCAGAGGGCACAGGTTTAATGTTTTACAAAAGAAGCAAATGCAAAATGAGGAAGAAACCTTTCAGAATGAGTAGTTAGGGGATAGAAGTGCCTTGAAGTATGGTGGAGGCATGGTCATTGGTGGCATTCGGAAGAGAATTGGATGATTACTTAAATAGAAACTACGCACGGTTATGGGGAAAGGCAGGAGACTGGCACTAAGCTAAAAATATTCAGAGTCGATGGGCTGAATGATCTCCTACACCATAACAATTCTCCGATATATGTACTTAAGACTTACTAAATAAGAGGATTTTGCTGCCACATGTTCATGATTGATACTTTGAGCTTATCAGCTTAGTTTTGTTTAATTGGTGAAAGCTTCTCATCAAATCAGATACTGTTAGATATTAAGAGGCCATCTTCTATGGAGTGTTGAAGTGGTTGCTGGTGCAGGGAAAGAGTCACCCTTTTCATTTAAATTTTCATATTGTAAAGTCACAAATTGTCTTAACTACATGATTTAACATCAACACAAAGTTACTAAGTAGGGGGACGTAGTTTTAAAGTACTGTGCAATTCTTTTTGACTTTTATACTCGAGACAATGTATTAACATTTTATACACACTTAAAGCATATTAATACATTGTCTCGAGTATAAAAGTCAAAAAGAATTGCACAGTCACAAAACCAATAACACACTGTTACAGAACACTGAATACAAAGAATATATTTGGCAAAATATAACTGCTTCTCTCTTTCTGAAACACTGCAAATTAAAACTGGCCCATTGTAGAAAACTTTGCTTTTCTTTCCGGACAATAAACCTTTTTTAACTTTGCTCTGATAATGACAGCACCCAGGTACTTGATAAGGGGATTAATGTGAACTCACCCATTCAACCTTGAAAGGTTGTGAGTTCATATTCTGTGATATGAAAAGAAGTGTAGCAAAGGTACAAGCTGAATCAGTCTGACAGTGCACAAGTGTGCTACGTTGACTCCAGTTAAGCTGTTAATGTTAGGCTGACTGATGAATACTTTGATTAACTCCAACTGCTGTCGTCTACTTCAGTGTTAGCTTTGTGTCTCAGTGTTCTGTTTGCAGTCAGTTCACCTAATTTCACAACTGAGCAAATATTTTTCTGCAAGTTAAGTGTCATAGGATGCTGCTGTTGTCAAGGATTTGAGATGGCTTCTCCATCTAGGTCATTTACAAAAATGAGGAACAGAAATTTGGGAGCAAACCCTTGGAATATTCAACTCCATGGCCCTGGATCAAGTTTAGCTCTCGTCTTTTGGCTATTTGTGTTTCTAACTCTAGAATTTTGTGTAAAACTTACTGTTTGTCCATTAGTTGCCTCCTATATATTGGACCTTTGCAAATGCTTTTTAGGGTTCCGAGTAACACATCACATCCAGTTCTGTCATCTACTTTGTGCAATATTTACAATAAAAAAAGGCAGGAAGGTTTGTTGAGCTTGATTTTTGCTCTTCTCAAACCTGTATGGAGTTTTCTTATTTGACATGCATTACAGTACTTTAAATAAATTAAACATGTGACTGTAAACATGAGTTCTCGGATTTCTGTTGGCTGGTTTGATGTAATTGTGATGCCAAGATGATACCAAATATTCTTGTTTTGTTTCTTCTGTCAGTTGGCCAGCCGTGCCTTAAGGCAACAAGTCAAACCACTCCTAACTCTGAAGTTACATCTGGAACAGAATGGACAGCAGAATGCCAATATCCTTCAAACTGATCCTGCCACCTTGTTGCACCTAATTCGCAAGTTGGAGCAAGCGCTGGGTGAAATGAAGACAAACCATTGCCGAAGGATAGTACGCAATATAAAATAAGGAAATGAGATACTGGCAACCATTGGCATTCCCTGTGCCAGATTGAGACAGACAAACATTGAGCAATTTGGGGTGTGATGGATGAACCGGTTACTGTTCTGTGTACGTCGTGATCTTGGTTATTGGAAATGGTTTGAAGAATGAAAGTTGGTTATAGTCTTTGTTTGCTGTTAGAGGTACGTTGACATTGGAAATCAACAACCTTCATGACAGCTATCAAATTATAAGATGATATTAGGTGGAGCAATGAAGCCACACCGAAAAGTGCTTTATATCGATTGTTGCCCATCAGTAATCTCTGAACTCCACATAGTCTCTCAGAAGTGCTTCATTTCTGATGCCTTGGATGGAAATAGGAGCCTAGATTGGGAGTATGGGGGCAGGAGGAATAGTTAGGAAACAGTAGAAGACTGAAATTTGGAAAAGACTGGAATAATTGATCCTACAAAGCAGCTAAAATTAACCAGGAGTCAGAAAAGTGTATTGAGGGGTGGGTTGGGGGAAGACAAACTATGACAAAAGTACTTCTTACAGGACTGTCCTTATATCTCTTTGGGTTAGGCTCAAATCAGTGCCAAACTGAGGAGGAGGTTTCTCCCCCCAGCTGGCAGCTGCCACATTCCTGCGTGTAATCAATTTGACTTTTTGTCAGCCCAGTTCCTTGTACAGCCTGCACAAAGGCACTGCATGGGCAGCCTTACTGATCACAATGGTATTTTTGAAAAAAGGAGTTTGTGTTAGGATGTTTGAGGCAGAGAAGGAGCAATGCTGTAACTGAGTGATTGTATTGCCATCATCGACACTGATTACCTTGATGAGGGTGAGGAAAAAGGTGAAGAAAACTATCGCCAATGTACAGCTCTGAATGTTGTAGCACAGTCTGTAATTCGCAAGACCATTCATAGAAAACAACATATTGAAGCACATTGTTAGGGCACTGAAACAATATATTGTTTAACTTCTTCTCAGTTGTGTTTTTTTTTCTAATATACAAAAGCCAGGTCATTACTAACAATTGAAAGATCACCGTTACAAAAAACTTCACTCATACTGCCATGTCCAGTTTCTGTGGGACCAGCATTAGATTTGCTAAGTTAAACTTAGTGTACCAGTTATGCTCAAAACACAGGTAGCATGAAGATGCTTTGTATCGGATATCATATTTACCATGTCTTTGTGATATTTAAGTCAGAACATTAGTATTCCTGGAATTTTATTTTCAGTATTACAATTTGGATACCCAACTTGAATGGAGTTGTTGGTTGGTTCGCCAAGTCAGCTCAGCGAACCAACCAACAACTCCAACTGCGACCCGAGCTACAGATCTTCATTCAACCCAACTTGGATATTTTGCCACAGTTTCCAATACGAACATTGGGCTGAATAATGCAGATTTTGTTTTATCGTACTCGCTTAAACATTTTGAACATTCATTTCCTGGTTTCTGAGAGAAATCCTTCTATCTTTTCCAAAGCCACTCCCCAATATCTGATGAATTTTTTGGTATCTTAGCGTTTAGAGACTAGATGTAGGATTTACACAAATGCTCTCCACTGATTTGTTCCATTCTATGAGTAGGGAGCAAGCACATTGTGCAGTGGTGCCTTCTAGCTATGTTCTTCATGTTACTCTTTTCTCATAGTTGAAAAAGATGGCCACAATAAAGTAAATGCCTTATTCTGTGCTCTACATATAATCACACTTTTTGGAGATTTAATGGATGAAATGAAACATTGAAATGCCCTGGAGATAAAGGTACACTTGCACTCAATCACCCTTATTATTCCGTTTTAGTAGTTTTGCATCTGTTGGTTAAAAGCAAACTGGAAATGGACACTTTGGGTGGAATGGCCTTTGCCTTCATTTGAACATTGACTGCTGTTCACGGTTACTAATGATTTATCTCTTCATTATACCGTAAGGTACGTTCTACTTTAAGTAGTAGTTTTCGACAGCTGTAAAGCTTGAATCAGGAAAATAAGGGAAACTTAAGTTCAAATATACCCACATCTCTTTAATGTTCATATTATTGGAACTGTTCAGAAGTCAACATGTTCCCAGTAGTCATTCAAAAAGGTGTTCTAACCAACAAATCCAAAATAGTCACCAGTAATTGTGTAGCTGTCACTCTTTATAATATTTGATCATTTGTAAATTTGTTCAAATGTTCTCTCTTTTTTTTTTGTAAGGAATTTCTACAAGTATTAATTTGTTTTCTCTTTCACTGTTTCTGTTTGAATTATTTTTCATTATTTCTGGTTTGTTTAATTGGTGTAGTATTGTGAACATCTTGTTGAGATTATTCAATTACTAAAGTCAAGTGCAAGAAAATTAGTACAAAATTTAAGTAGTCTTAACAATGTGGAAAAGATTCTCCTTATACAGAATTGCAGGATTGTTTGTGCCAAAATGGTGTACAGAAGTAATCTTATACTTCACTTTAATGCAATTTAGTTTATACTTATTTCCCAATTCCTTGCTTAGCTGCCCATATTCTTATAAAATTCACGTAATAAATTAATTAATCTGACTCTGGAATTATAGTTTTGGTTTGTTTACTTTTGAAATGCTCTGTCAACCATATATTAAGCAAACAAAATTGCATGATACAAACCATGTACCAGGTATTATGGCAGCTGCTGATTGTTTAGTGCACTCAAACACCTTTCATGCTCTTGCTCGATATTACAGTGTATTAGTAGTACCATACTTTGGAGTTCATTGCTGAATCAGATGCAGTTAAACTTCCTCTACCACTGTGGATTCAGTGTATCTGCAATGATTGTGGAGGAAGTAGTGGGATCTTCGGAAAAATATTTCCCACGTATACTGTTTATTTGAAATAACTCATACCTTGTGTGTTTAAAATGTTCATATTTGAGTGTTGAAATGCTTGATGTTCTGGGTCACTTTTAGAAAAGTGCACCTTTACATCTCAATTTGTTGAAGCTAAGATAAAGTACAAATGCATCAGTTGGGTAAGAAAAACCATTTCTGCAATACATTGTGCAGTGGGCAGATTTTGTTTTCCATGCTTTTAATCTAAGTATTCTGTGAAAATTGCTAAACAACAGGAAAGAGTTGCTGGATTCTGGAAACCTTTAACAAAGAACTGCAAACATGCAACTATACTACACATTGATTAGTAGCTCTTGACAAGCCTTTTAGTGCGATTTGATGTGACCATGTCAAATTGACAAACTGACTCCTCCAGGTCTTAACCAGTTACTGTTTCAAATCCTGGTTGACTGACTAGGAAAGCTGGATGCTTAAACACTCCATAAAAGGATGCTGAGGGGACCTATTCTAAGAGAGGCTATGCACGCTTGGGGTTGTGAATAGAGGATAAAGTTGATGTATAGTCTTGATTGTCTCCCAGGAACAAGTGAGATTGAGTTGATGCCTCTTAGGTCATACGAACATAGATATATAGTAGGTGCATTTTTACTAAAGAGCAGTGGAACTCTGAATTTTTTGAGATGACTGGAGCTCTGGTATTGTTTCTGAAGATAGGTAATTAAATGTTTTTATTATTCCTTTTTGGGACAATGTCATTACTGGCTGGGCCAGCACTTATTACCCATCCCTAGTTGACCTTGAAAAAAGTGGTGACGAGCTACCTTCTTGATCCACTGCATCCATGTTCTGTAGGTTGATCCACCATGCCCTGAAGGAGGGAGTTCCAGGATTTTGATGCAGGGACAGTGAAGGATTAGCGATAGAGTTCTAAGTCAGGATGATAATTGGCTTGGAGAGGAACTTGAAGGTGGTGGTTTTCCACATATCTGCTGCCCCTGTCCTTCGAGATGGATGTGGTTGTGGGTTTGGAAGGTCCTGTCTAAGGATCTTTGAATTTCTGCAGTGCATCTTGTAGATAGTAGTAGCAGCAATGTGCACTGAGCATCGGTGGTGGAGAGAGTGGATGTTTGTAGCTGTAGTGCCAGTCAAGTGGGCTGCTTTGTCCTAGATGGTGTTAAGCTTCTTGAATATTGTTGGTGCTGCTGCTAGCATGTCCTCTTGCACTCTCCATTGAGTTAGAGTGGTTGAACCGGAGGCTTGATGGTAATGATTGAGTGGAGAATATGTTAGGAAATGAGGTTGCAGATTGTGTTGGTGTACGATTCTGCTGCTGTTTTTAGTCCACCGCCTCATGGATGTCCAATTTTTTGAATTGTGCGATCTGTTAGAAATCTGCCCCATTTAGCATGATTGTACCACACAATTCGTTGGAGGGTATTCTCAATATGAAGGTTGGACTTCATCTCCACTAGGGGGAGGCAATGGCCTAGTGATATTAACACTAGACTGTTAATGCAGAGACCCAGATAGCGTTCTGGGGAACTGGGTTTGAATCCCGCAACACCAGATGCTGAAATTTGAATTCAATAAAATATCTGGAATTAACAATCTAATGATGACTGTGAATCCATTGTCAATTTTTGGAAAAACCCATCTGGTTCACTATTGTCTAGAAGGAAACTGCCATCCTTACCTGGTTTGGCCACCATGTGACTCCAGACCCACAGTAATGTGGTTGACTCTTAACTGCCCTCTGGGCAATTAGGAATGGGCAATAAATGCTGCCTAGGCAGCGACACCCCCATCCCATGAATTAATAAAGAAACAAGCAAGCAAGGATTTTTGTTCAACTTTACAATTAGCTACAACCTATCTTGTAGTTTGAAACGAAAATAAATTCTCTTTGTATAGTTACATTGATGTCCTCAGCATCCCAAATGCTTCACAATCAGTGAAGTGTGTTTGAACTGTAGTAACCATAGTAATACAAGAAAGAGCAAGCACAACTAAATCACTTTGTTGTCTATTTCAACTAAATCACATTACCGTCTATTTCAAGGATAAATGATGGCCAGCACACCAGGAAAATTCCCCGGCTGTTCAGAAGTTGACATGGCATCTTTTCACTCCATCTGACAGGGTACACAAGGTCTTGGCTTAGCATATCATCCAAAACACCGCTCCTGATGTGTTTCACAATCACAATGTGATCACAAACTTGTTGATTTCCCTGGAAATGGACCGTAACTTCCCCCCCTCGGTGGTCGAGAACGCCCTCAACCGTGTCTCCCACATCTCCCGCACCTCATCCCTCACACCCCGTCCACGCAATAAAAACCAAAAAAGAATCCCCCTCGTCCTCACGTACCACCCCACCAACCTCCGGATCCAACGCATCATCCTCCGACACTTCCGCCATCTGCAATCCGACCCCACCACCAAAGACATCTTTCCCTCTCCACCTTTATCTGCTTTCCGGAGGGACAACTCTCTCCGTGACTCCCTTGTCCGCTCCACACTCCCCTCCAGCTCCACCACACCCGGCACTTTTCCCTGCAACCGCAGGAAGTGCTACACCTGCCCCCATACCTCCTCCCTCACCCCCATCCCAGGCCCCAAGAAGACTTTCCACATCAAGCAGATGTTCACCTGCACATCTGCCAATGTGGTATACTGCATCCGCTGTACCCGGTGTGGCTTCCTCTACATCGGGGAAACCAAGCGGAGACTCGGGGACCGCTTTGCAGAACACCTACGCTCGGTTCGCAACAAACAACTGCACCTCCCAGTCGCGAACCATTTCAACTCCCCCTCCCATTCCTCAGACGACATGTCCATCCTGGGCCTCCTGCAGTGCCACAACGATGCCACCCGAAGGTTGCAGGAACAGCAACTCATATTCCGCTTGGGAACCCTGCAGCCCAATGGTATCAATGTGGATTTCACAAGTTTCAAAATCTCCCCTCCCCCTACCGCATCCCAAAACCAGTCCAGCTCGTCCCTGCCTCCCTAACCTGTTCTTCCTCCCACCTATCCCCTCCTCCCACCTCAAGCCGCACCTCCATCTCCTACGGACCAACCTCATCCCGCCCCCTTGACCTGTCCGTCCTCCCTGGACTGACCTATCCCCTTCCTAACTCCCTACCTACACTCACCTTTACTGGCTCCATCCCCGCCTCTACGACCTGTTTGTTTCCTCTCCACCTATCCTCTCCTCTATCCCTCTTCTATCCGCCTCCCACTCTCTCCCTATTTATTTCAAAACCCCCTTCCCCTCCCCCTTTTCTGATGAAGGGTCTAGGCCCGAAACGTCAGCCTCTCTGCTCCTATGATGCTGCTTGGCCTGCTGTGTTCATCCAGCCCTGCACCTTGTTGTCTCGGATTCTCTAGCATCTGCAGTTCCTACTATCTCAGAGTTCTGTTCCTGTTAATTGCTGATTGAAATCCTTCCAGAAATTGTCGTCAAATTTTAAATTTTAAGTGAGTATGGTTATTCCTTCAATCACAAAACAGCAGTTTAAAAAGTTATGATCTTGTAGTGATTGGAACCATGGCAAGGTCAATCTCATTAACTATGAGATTTTTGATTAGGGCTCTTAACCTGGGCCAAGCACGGAGCCCTGGCTGATGTATAAAAGGAGATTTAGAAGGTACTGACCTAGAGCTGCCGGGTCACAGCCCACGTACCGTGCACATGTAAATAAAGGGTGACTTGGTGACATAATACTGACCTCTGTGCAGTTATTTCAGATCTATCTCCAGTTCTATAGCTCTCCATAACTATAGAAATACGCTACCAGAAAAGAAATTACACTCAAGGAATATGGGGAGCGCTGGCTGGGACAGCAATTATTGCCCATCCCTAGTTGCCCTTGAGGAGGTGATGGTGAACTGCTTTCTTAAACTGCTGTAGTCCATGTACTGGTGGTAGACCCACAATTCTGTTAGAGAGGAAATTCCAGGATTTTGACCCAGCAACACTAAAGAAGTAGCAACATATTTTCAAGAGAGGATGGTGAGTGGTTTGGAGGGGAACTTGCAGGTGAGGACGTGTTCCTGTGTATCTGCTGCCTGTCTCCTTCCAGACGTTTGTGGCCATGGGCTTCAAATGTTGATGTTGGTCTGTATTGATTAATATAAATAACTTCATGTACTACCACTATTGAACCCATGCTGTTGGCATCACTCTGCATTGAAAACTGGCCTTTCAATCAACTAAGCTAACCAATCCCCATCCTTAGAGGACATTGCACGGCAGTGCACGACAGTGAAGAAGTATATAAAGTCTTGCATTTGTGTGTATCTTTTCATGATTTGTGTCCCAATTTACTTTCCAGCTGAAGTAGTTCTGAAGTGCAGCAATTTCTTTCTGTTTCATGTAATGTGAGTGTCACTGGTGAAGCCCATGCCCTGGAGAAGTTGGTGGTGAGCTGCCTTCCTGAACTGATGCCTCTCTTCTGGTGCTGATGGGGAGGCAAGTCCAGGATTTTGACCCAGTGGCAATGAAGCAATAGTGATACATTCCCAAGTGAGGATGGTGAGTGGCTTGGAGGGGAACTTGCAAATGGTGATGTTCCCATGTATCTGCTGCCCTTGTCCTTCTAGATGTTGGAGCTTGTGGGTTTGTTGTCTAAGGAGCTTTGGTGGGTTGCTGCACTGCATCTTGTAGATGTT